TCTGTTTGTCCGCAAAAACTTTAACCTTGTACATAACCTTTGATTTAGTGCAGCTGTGATTTTCATATTTTACATGTGTATTCCTTGTGACAAGAGCTTTCTTTGGGTATCACCAAATTTGACCTTTTGACCTTGACCTTTAAAATTTGATCCACTTTTACACAAAAACTCAAATGTTTACTTTTGGCCTTGACTTTTCAACATTGGATAGCAGGACATCATACTTCAAATTTATATTTTTTGTGGCAAAACTTTTTAGTGTATACTACCACCTTAGACCTTTTGACCTTGACCTTGGAGATTAACGTACTAATTTAAAACTTTGCCATTACTTTTGAACAGTAAGGGTTAGGACTTTCATACTTCACATATGCAGTCCTTATAAGAAGACACTTCATTGGATACAAAGAGCTATGACCTTTTGACCTCGACCTAGGAGTTTGACCTACTTTCAAAAAATAACTTTGACCATATCTTTTAAAGGGTATGAGCTAGTGCTTTCGTACTTTTCATATTTCATCCTTTTGATATCAAGACATTTGACCTTTTAACTTTGAGTTTGACTTACTTTTAAAAAAATCTTAACTTTGGCCATAACTTTTGAACGGTTAGGACTAGAGCTTACAAACTTCACATATGTATCTTTGTAGCAAGAGCATTTATTGGATACCAATAACCTTGACATTTTGACCTTGACCTTGGAGATTTTCGGACTTATGAGAAAATATTAACCTTGGCAATAACTTTTGAAGAGTAAGAGGTAGGACTTTCACCCTTCATTGTAATTCTTGTGACGAACCCTTTTTATTGAATAACAATAACCTTGACCTTCTGACCTTGATCTTGGAGTTTTACGTATTATAAAAATCTTTTTACTCTTGACCATAGAATGGTTAGAGTTAGGACTGCCATAATTCAAACATATGATCTTTGTGAAAAGACCTTTCATTGGATACCAATAACCTTGACCTTCTGACCTTGATCTTGAAGATTTATGTACTTATTAAAAAAACTCTAGCCTCATTATAACTTGGTAACACATTGTGCTAGGGTAAGAAGAGACCCTACTTTGGGTACCAATATAGTATTTTTGAATCTAAGAAAAATTTAAACTTTACTATGTTACCATACGAGGGTATCAGTGTTTCACAAACACAATTTGTTTTAAATTATTTTATTTCTTTATTTTTCCAAAAAAGGAAGGAGAAAATAAAATATTTAAGAAATCCGACGCAAGAATAAAAACATGTCAACAACTTTTCCCTACCAGAAAACCTTATCCCAGGGGTTTGTGTCGTTTTTTTCATATTTTATAACACGTGTACATATCCCAGGGGCCTATGTTTTTATGGTGTTCAAGGTCATTTTCATAACTTGGAAAACCTGAGCTTCGTGCATAATGGTTGAATTGTTTGATGAATTATTTTAACCTGATTGCAGGACTTTCATTTTCCCGCTGAGCATAAGGGGAGGTAAACCCATTCCTTTGTTTCCTTTTTTGGCCGCCGTTTTCTTCTGTTCAGTAAACGGCTCTACAGACATACGGTATACTCATACCGCATACTGAGATCCGCCACAGGTTTCAGTTGTTTTTAAGGAGTTTTTTAAAAGACTGTTCATATGTATTTCTCTGTTCAAATTTGATCCCCCATTGTAGCCCCACCTTACCCCCGGGGTCATGATTTGAATTTCAATATGCACTACCTGAGGATGCCTCCACATGAGTTTCATCTTTCCATGCTCAGTGGTTCTTGAGAAGAAGATTTTCAAAAGATCGCATTACTTTTTTACTTATTCATTATTATCTCCCCATGGTTGAGACCCCAGCCCTTCAATTTTGAAAAAAAACACTACTTATCTTCACTTAATGATACTTTGTGGTAAGTTTGGTTAAAATTGGCTCAGTGGTTCTAGGGAATAAGATGAAAATGTGAAAAATTTACCACAACAACAACAACGACGACGACAGACAATGGCCAAATTTTGACCAGAAAAGCTCACTTGAAATCACAAATCAATACAGCAATAAAAGTTTGATATTAGAGAGGGACAAAGGAAGGATATGGACAAACTATTGCAACACATAAATCATATATATTATTCAGAAAATATGACAAAATATTAAATAAATATTAACATTAAATCTGTGTCCAAACACTTTAATTAGATTGCACAAAATACCACACTCTATCAATTTTTTTAAAAGTATTATCCGACAGGTACTCCATAAGATCCCCGATCTTTTTTTATTCATGAAATCACCATATTTTATGTGTTTTAATACATATACATTTATATGCCTTTAACAAAAAAAACCCTAAGTCACAATTTTCTAGTTTTTTCTTCTGCTTAAAAATATTCTAAATACTACCTGAACCTCTCTAAATTTATTTTTAGGTTTAAAAAAATTCTTCGTATGATCTCATGACTGCTTGGTACTACGAAATGGTTTCAAATGATGTTAACATTAGTTTTATGCTCTCTAGTTGACAATTACACGCTTAAAGGGCATTCGAATGAAGAATATGGAAATATTGAAACGTATTAGAGCGCAAAATTCAATTGAACATAAAAAAATATAGAAGCAGAGCAAACACAGGCCTCTAAAACACCGGAGGTGGATCAGGTGACATGAACGGTCACACCCATCTGCTCCTTGTCATGTTTGGGGAAAAATGGAAAAATAAGTCGGTAATGCAGTGTGTAAATAATGGTTAAGCAATCAGTATGAAAAAAGTCAATCATTTTATTTAAATATACATTATATTTTTGACACATAAACACATAATTGAAAACTGTATAAAATATTACCTTAAAAATATATATTCATGTACTTTATCAAACGCAAACAAAAAGTGCATTTTTCTTAATCACTCAGCCACATTAATTGCATAATTTTAAAATTCAAATTCATTTGTATTGTGCTATAATTTTAAATTTTAATCTAACTCAATAAAAGCAATTTTGCACAACAGATAAATTTTTAACATTCCTTTCTTCTTCTTTTCTTAACAAAAGGGAATGCATTATTCTATATAACAAACAATAAACAATGCATAATATAAAATAAAGCAATATAAGCAAATCAAACAAACAAACAAAATTTAGTACCAAATTAATATGCATATTTTGAAGTACAAAAAGGAAACAATGACAAAACGACTAAAACCTCAGACATAAAATTAAAGAAATATTTTGTGATGTAATTTTTATTGCGATTGCTGTGTTCAACACTACTTCCCTCTTCATTATCCAGAATTACAAACAATGAATATCGCATAATATAACACAAGGCATTATAAAGCAAACAAAACAAACAATTAAAAATTAAAAGAAACGAAAAAAAAAACCCACAGAATCAATAAAAACAATTTGAAGTTCAAAAAGGAAACGGAAAAAGGAAACTATGACACAACGAGAAAAAGTATAAACATGTAATTAAAAAATGTATCTGGATGTTATTTTTTTTATTTCGAAGATTTTTTGCTTTAATGTGTACCCTCATCCACGAATTGATACACAGGTGTTTAAAAACATTTGTCCTTTAAGATGTGTACATATTAAGCAATACGCGGAATTTAATCCCTCACCCGAACCTATGAATTTTATACAATCAACGAAAAGATGGCCCCGACGAATTTTGATGAATCCACAGTATAACAGCGTACTGTAAATCCATCAAATATCTTATATAGTCAATAAATAATATATACTAATCCCACCTAACAAACGTATTATTCCTACTGAAATGCAGAACAACATAATAAATTTATATCTAATAACAGACTGCCTTATTGCTGCCGATAATAAAAGAGGTTTATGTGACTGCAATAATTTGCTCTCTTGAAATAATAAATTTCAAGAGACTGAACTTTTGATAAATCCTTTAAATACTTTTACAGAAATAAAACTAGTACAATAAAAAGATAGCTCAATGACATTTGAGTGTATGAAAAACTTAATAAATTAGTGTAAATTGCTTTTTTCTATTTAAGGGAACTTTATCTTTGCGTCTCTCAACAAACATTTAATTTTTGGGTATTAAAGTATTATGAATATTACATAAAACAATAGCACAGATACAAAAAAAAGTTTTACTTTTAAGTACAATATCCCTCGCTTTTAGATACAAATTATTCATCTCATAGAAATAAGTTGTCAAAGAAAATTTGGCGATTGACAGTAATCAAGAAAAATAAAGGAAATAAAAAAAAATTAATGATCTACAAATTTTTTTTGACAAAAATACCTGGTAAATATCCGTATACAAGAAATAGAACACGAATCCCAAGAACTCCATCGGTGGAATCAAATGCGAAAGATGAGTAAACATCCCCTTTTGATCGGTCACTCTCGCTCATGTTTTGATCAGATAAATAGAGGTAACGTTGCTTTGGTCAAAATAAGAACAAAACAAAAGTCTATCAATTGGAATTTTAGCTGCAAATCTGTAGCTCTCCGAAAAAAAAAATCATTGATAGACCGGAGAGCTACAGAGCCACCCATTGAAAAAAATGTATATATATTGCGCACAAAAAAGTGCGCTCGGTTCTCGATTTATTTCTCCATGTTTTTAAAGCTGTAATCTCAAAGTATTACTAACCATGTGATCCTAATATATTCTTTGACGCTTTCCACAACAAAACATTCCTCATAATTGTTGTTAATAATCCTCCTGGCCCTGATGTTGCAATCATTGAACATTTCGCTTATTTATACTGCCATTTTGGTTTCAAAGATAATTCGGTCCAATATGCTTCGTTCAGATGTCAACTACGCGAGAACTTGATAGAGGAGAGGGTAATTTTTTGAAATCTTCCATTTTTTGCAATTGAGGTAAGAATTTGGAAATATTAGTCAAGAACCTAGCGCACTTTTTTCTGCGCAATAAATGTACAGTTTTTTTCAATGGTTGGCACTGTAGCTCTCCGGTCTATCAATATATATTTTTTCGGAGAGCTACAGATCTGCAGCTATTGGAATATAACATTTCTGCCAAAATAAGATCCTATGAAAGGTTATATTTGCTACGAAAAACCATGATAACAACAATAGAATTTTACGAAACATTTAATATGAAACAGAAGTGGCAGATTCTGTGATGTCTTCTATTTCAAGTTCACAAAGATATGGCAAGTCGATATATGAATGAAAGTATCTATTGGTAATTGATAATATAACGTCGATATATATCTGAATATCGGACCGAAGGCCTCAGCAATTTTCTTCTTCTCATGCGGAAGTTTTTTGAATAAATGCGGAAAATTCTTTGTGAAAATGTCATGCACTTGTTTGCAAGCTATAGTAAAAGCCCGAATCAGCTTTTGCTGCATATCTCAGAAATATCTCGGAAATAATGTGAACACACTTGGTATTGAGAAACCACTGAAACCATCGTCAGAATAAAAACTCAGCACCATATTGTAGTAAAAGTTCAGCGATACTGTCATGACCATATAAGTATGTTATATACAGTGGACTCTTATTGGCTTTATTGCATAAATTAACACAAGCATCGTTTTGTAATAATACTTGGACTATGCTGTCATGTCCATTTTCACAGGCTATGTAGAGTGGACTGGTTCCCTCGTTGTCACATAAATTGATGTCTGCACCTTCATCTAGTAAAAGTTTAACCATACTGTCATTACCATTGAGACATGCTAGGTACAACGGACTGCAGTTCCCTTCATTGCATAAATTTACATCAGCACCTGAGTTTAATAAAAGTTCGATTGTACTGCAATGTGAGTTTTCACAAGCTATCCAAAGAGCACTGTTTCCATCTTTATCACAAAAATTGATGTCAGCACCGTTGTTCAGTAAAAGTTGTACCGTACTATCATCCCCGTTTTGACAAGCTATATAAAGAGGACTGGCTCCATTCTTGTTACATAAATTGATGTCGGCACAGTTGTTCAGTGACAGTTGTACTACGCTATTATGTCCATTTTGACAAGCTATATAAAGAGGACTGGTTCCATCTCTATCACAAAAATTGATGTCGGCACCGTTGTTCAGTAAAAGTTGTACCGTACTATCATGTCCGTTTTGACAAGCTATATAAAGAGGACTGGATCCATTCTTCTCACATAAATTGATGTCGGCACCTTTGTTCAGTAACAGTTGTACCGTGCTATCAAGTCCTTTATAACAAGCTATATAAAGAGGACTGACTCCATTTTTCTCACATAAATTGATGTCGGCACCGTTGCTCAGTAAAAGTTGTACAGTGCTATCATGTCCATTTTGACAAGCTATCCAAAGAGGACTGGTTCCATCATTATCACATAAATTGATGTCGGCACCGTTGTTCAGTAACAGTTGTACCGTGCTATCATATCCATTATGACAAGCTATATTAAGAGGACTGACTCCATTCTTCTCACATAAATTGATGTCGGCACCATTGTTGTTCAGTAACAGTTGTACCGTACAATCATGTCCATTATAACAAGCTACATAAAAAGAACTATGTCCATTATCATCACATAAATTAATGTCGGCACCTTTGTTTAATAACAGTTGTACCGTGCTTTCATGTTTATTTTGACAAGCTATATAAATAGGACTGACTCCATTTTTCTCACATAAATTGATGTCGGCACCGTTGTTCAGTAATAGTTGTACCGTGCTATCATGTCCATTTTGACAAGTTACAGATAGAGGACTGAATCCATCATTATCACATAAATTGATGTCGGCGGCGTTGTTCAGTAATAGTTGTACCGTGCTATCATGTCCATTTTGACAAGTTACAGATAGAGGACTGAATCCATCACTATCACATAAATTGATTTCGGCGCCGTTGTTCAGTAACAGTTGTACCGTGCTATCATGTCCATTTTGACAAGCCATATAAAGAGGACTTGTTCCATTCTTATCACATAAATTGATGTCGGCGCCTTTGTTCAGTAATAGTTGTACCGTGCTATCATGTCCATTTTCACAAGCTATAAAAAGAGGACTTAATCCATCACTATCACATAAATTGATGTCTGCACCGTTATTCAAAAGCAGTTGTACGATGCTATCATGTCCTTTTTGACAAGATATATGAAGAGGACTGAATCCATTTTTGTTACATAAATTGATTTTGGCACCATTGTTCAGAAACAATTGTACCGTGCTATCATGTCCATTTTCACAAGGTACAGATAGAGGACTGAATCCATCATTATCACATAAATTGATGTCGGCGCCGTTGTTCAGTAACAGTTGTATCGTGCTATCATGTCCATTTTGACAAGCTATATAAAGAGGACTGACTCCATTCTTGTTACATAAATTAATGTCGGCATCGTTGTTCAGTAACAGTTGTACCGTGCCATTATGTCCATTTTGACAAGATACCCAAAGAGGACTGGTCCCATCTTCTTCACATAAATTGATGTCAGCACCGTTGTTCAGTAAAAGTTGTACCGTGCCATTATGTTCATTTTGACAAGCTACCCAAAGAGGACTGGTCCCATCTTTTTCACACAAATTCATGTCGGCCCCGTTGTTCACTAACAGTTGTACTGTGCTATCATGTCCATTTTGACAAGCTATATAAAACGGACTGGCTCCATTCTTGTTACATAAATTGATGTGGGCACCGTTGTTCAGTAACAGTTGTACCGTGCTATCATTTCCATTTTGACAAGCTACATAAAGAGGACTGATTCCAGTATTTTCACATAAATTGATGTCGGCACCGTTGTTTAGTAACAGTTGTACCGTGGTATCAAGTCCCTTATAACAAGCTATATAAAGAGGACTTGCTCCATTCTTTTGGCATAAATTAACATCTGCAAAATTTTTCAGTAACAGTTGGACTGTGCTTTCATGTGTACTTTGACAAGCAATATAAAGAGGACTGAATCCATCATAATCACATAAATTGATGTCGGCACCGTTATTCAGTAACAGTTGCACCGTGCTATCACGTCCAGTTTGACAAGCTATATAAAGAGAACTGACTCCATCATTATCACATAAATTGATCTTAGCGCCATTCTTCAGTAACAGTTGTACCGTGCTATCATGTCCATTATAACAAGCTATATAAAGAGGACTGAATCTATACTTGTCACATAAATTGATGTTGGCACCGTTCTTTAGTAACAATTGTACCGTGCTATATTGTCCAGCTTCTTAAGCTTTATAAAGAGGACTGGCTTGATTCTTGTCACATAAATTGACGTTGGCACCGTTTTTTAGCAACAGTTTTACCGTGCTATCATGTCCATTTTGACAAGCTATATAAAGAGGACTGGCGGAAGTCTTTTCACATAAATTAATGTCAGCACCGTTGTTCAGTAACAGTTGTACTGTGCTATCATGTCCATTTTGACAAGCCATATGAAGAGGACTGGTTCCATTCTTTTCACATAAATTGATGTCAGCACCTTTGTTCAGTAACAACTGTACCGTGCTATAATGTCCATTTTTACAAGCTACCCAAAGAGGACTGGTCCCATTTATTTCAAATAAATTTATGTCGGCAGCGTTGTTCAGTAACAGTTTTACCGTGCTATCATGTCCATTTCGACAAGCCATAAAAAGAGGACTGGCTCCATTCTTTTCACATAAATTGATGTCAGCACCTTTGTTCAGTAACAATTGTACCGAGCTAAAATGGCCATTTTTACAAGCTACCCAAAGAGGACTGGTCCCATCTATTTCACATAAATTGATGTCAGCACCTTTGTTCAGTATCAATTGTACCGTGCTATAATGTCCATTTTTACAAGCTACCCAAAGAGGACTGGTCCCATTTATTTCACATAAATTTATGTCGGCACCTTTGTTCAGTAACAGTTGTACCGTGCTATCATGTCCATTTCGACAAGCCATATAAAGAGGACTTGATCCATCACTATTACATAAATTGATGTCGGCACCGTTATTCAGTAATAGTTTTGCCGTGCTAACATGTCCATTTTGACAAGCTATATAAAAAGGACTAGCTCCATTCTTCTCACATAAATTGATGTTGGCACCGTTGTTCAGTAACAGTTGAACCGTGCTTTCATGTCCATTTTGACAAGCTATAAAAATAGGACTGGTTCTGTCCATGTCACATAAATTGATTTTGGCGCCATTGTGCAGTAACAATTGTACTGTGCTGGTATACCCCTTTTGACAAGCTAGGCACAGAGGAGATTTTCCATCATCGCCACCTAAATTAATTTTGGCGCCATAGTTCAATAAGCAAACAATTGTTTTATTACGTCTTACTCCTTTTTCTGTCTCCTTTCCAGCTTCTGTTAAATGTTCTTCATCATTTCCTGCTGCCAAAATTAAAGGAGTCCAAATATTTCCAGCACTTAACATATTGACATTAGCACCAAGTCTGATTAATTCTGGGATAATCTCAAAGTTGTGAAAGACAGAAGCAATGTGGATTGGATAAAATAACCCCCAAAATTCATTTATAGCCGTTTCTTTGTATTCTTGCCTCAGACTATGAAACAATTGTAACGCTCCATTAGCACACACGGCAGGAAAAACAAAAAGATTCTGCAATGAATTTTTGTTTATAATTCTTATGAAAGATAGAGAAATGTCATCATGACCAAATACTATAAATCCATTCAAAGGACATATTTTATGTCTCCAATCAAGAAAAGTAAGTCTTGATATGCTAAACTCAGTTGACGGTTTTACAAACTCTGACTGATGTATTGAACATTTTACATTTTTATCAATGTTTGACAGATTTTCTGATGCCTTTATACTGTCAACAAACTGTTTCTTCACATTTTCATTTCTCAAACATTGGTTGAGAACAACATCCACGAAATGTTCTGTTTGCATGTCAATAATAAACCTGTCTACAAGATCATCAATGTACTCTTCAGGAAGGTAAACAGTGAAGGGATCGCAATCTTTCTCTTCTGTATCGTCTTCTATTCTCACCAGTCGTCTCAGAAAACCACTGTCTGCGTACTGTATTGTCTCTTGTGGACAATCAACACCAAACACCAGAGTCGTTATCTCCATAATAAGGTCGTGAAGGAATTGGAAAACATGTCCGACACGTTTGACATAGGATCCTTTAAGTTCTTGGAGAGTACTGTGGAAGACTGAAATATTTGTGTTTTCTGTTAATTCACAAATTCCCAGAATGTCTTTATATTTCTTCTTTGAATCATCATTCCTTACAATTGTTTCTATTTTCAGATTGTTTTTAAAAGCTACAACTAAAATAAGAGCACAGAATTTCTTCTTGTCTTTTTTCTTCCAAATTTCAATTTCCTCTTTAATGAACTTCTTCGGAGATTTGAAGAAGTCAAGTCCATTTTCCTTGTATTTTGACCGAGAAAAAAGCTTACAGAGCAATGGGAAATATGCTTCTGTTTTGATTATTTCAAAAACTATTTCTTCAGTAAGGTCGTGATTCTGTGTGTATTGATTGAGGATTGCTCTTTTCTCCACAACTGTCAGTTGATTTTCTTCGTTGTCTATTTCTACTATGGTGGATTCCTCGAACAAATGTCCCTTCACTCTCTTGTCATAAAAAACGCATCTTCTACAGGACACGAGTAGTTTGCCCTTCTTCAAGCAAATTTCTATCGTTTTTTGATACTTTTTCCAATAAGTATACAATATTTCATCCAAAGACTCCTTTCCTAAAGGATCGTTGAGTACAAAGAGGATTTCATTTTCTGCCAAATACGAAAACTTCTCTTTAATTTCTCTTACTTCATCCACTGGTATGACATTAGCTCCTCGATTTTTATACTTGAGTGCAATATGCTGAATAATCGCCGATTTTCCAGATCCAGAATTTCCAACTACTATGACTAGGTTATGACTTTTGAGCTTTTCTTCTACAACGCAACTTGCTTTTGTTGGAATAAAAGCAGTGTTTTCTTCTTGCCAGTCTTTGAGAATCTCATTTATCATCGGTTTTCCTAAAAAAAAAACAAAGTTGAATCTATGAATTCATTGCCAGATTATGGGGTATGTATAACTAGTATTTTCACGAGCTTTCATTCTTGATCAGAAGCTGCTACGATATCAATCTGTATTTCCTGAGGTAATTCGACCGAGGACTTGTTTTTTTCTCAATTTTGAAAAGGGACTATTTGTTCACATTAATCATTTAAATTTCCAGAAATTAATATTGATTGATTGATTGTATATTGTTTAACTTCCCTCTCGAGAAGTTTTCACTCATATGAAGACGTCACCGTATGCCAGTGAAGGGCTTCTAATTTTGACCTTTTCTCGGAATTCAGAGCCATTGAACAGTGAGGGATCTTTATCTTGCCAACGCCTGCAGCTGACACGGGGCCTCGGTTTTAAAGGTCTCATCTGAAGGACCTGCAACTTTCAGTTCAAAGTGCAGACACATGGCGAAAAAACAGTTGCTACACATTTTGTATTGACCTAGGTCAGTCGCGGCCGAGCTTCAAACTCACGACTCCCGATCACGGAGCGAGCCCTCCAGAGATTGATGTTAATTCCAGTGTATGAAATAATGACCTTATACCTATCATATATTCCAGTGTGTAAAATTTTAATCAGCTTTATCAGTGGCAATTAAACAACACAAATTAATGAAACATTACATGTACAAACACAAATATAAGGGTAAGGAACATCTATGCGTTTAAAGGTTAAATTTAGGGCGGGAACAGGGGCAAGGAAAGGTAAGCATCCTTCAATTGTCAACTAATCGTTTGCTCTTTCCTATGTTTAAATATGGTTGCAACAATCAAATCATTTATGGAATTAAACTACAAAATGTTAACCTGTTACTACTTTAATTTGCAAAGACAATATTAAAACAAATATATACATGAATTGTATATTTTTTTGCAGAACAGTTAGACTTCACGCTTTGTTAACATATATATGTACACGGTAAACAATCTTTTTCTCCAATGATTCAGATTTTGAATTCATACCTTGCGAATGAAATTCCAAAGACGACATCTTTTCCATAAGATCTATATTTTTTTCATAATTAGCTTTAAGTTTTTCCATTATAGCCTTTTCATGTTCTTCTTCTAAGGCCAGTCTTTGAATTTTACTTAGTCCAGACAAATAGTCTTTGTTTGTGTACGTGTGAAGTCTTTGGCAGATATCAGTTATCATTTGCCATGTGTCATCAAATTCTGTCTGTGAGGTAGATGCCGAGCTTATGTGTCCAAACATAGTGTTTCGTATCAACCTGATCCTTTCAACATCATCACCGATCGTTGTTTCTCCTACAGACGGCATCGTGTTTCCACCCCAACCATTTGTTGGAAGAGGAATCGTTTTACATATGTTTCGTATCAGTGTGTATAACAACGTAATATCAAATTCTTTATAACCAACTGTTTTGGCGCCTTTAAGACAAAGTTCTTGCTCGGGGCGCATTTTCTTATAAATTGATGATGCTTTCACTTTGTTGTAGACAAGACCAGGAGGTACCTCCATTTCTAAGACATCTCTACAGGCCTGGGTCAATTCTTCGTTTATTGCCATTCCCAGTTTGGCAAACCTTGAACGGTCGGCAAGGTCTGGTCCAGAAGCCATTTGGTATCTAGATGATTCACATGGGATCTGAAATGTTTGAAATTATTATTCTGTTTTTCATTACTTTGTTTGCTTTGTCTACAAACATTTGAATGAATTGTATTTACAAATACAAACGTTGTTTCTCTTCAAATATTTCTGTTCAACTGATTCAAAAAGTAAATTGTTTCATGTATGAAAGTAATTTACAGATATCGAATTATGTATTTAAAATTAAGTTAACACTTTTAATTTTCAAGGATCTATTTATACTTTTATATGGTTTTGTAAAATGTTGATATGACTCATTTCTATTCAATGACTTAATAAGTTCTCAAATAGCATTATTTAAACGATCCATGTAAGCATTGTGACGTAATTTCGACTAAACTTATTTTAGATTAAACTTCCTATATTATCTATATTGATAATATTACCTATGTTTCTTGATTTTTTGCACATTTGATAATCACTTTCTTCATTTTCTTTTACTCTCTACATAAAGAGAGTACCTATTTTTTTTAATCAACAAATATTATGTTGCTTTAATGAATGTAAGCCCTGTGTTTTGAACAAAATGTCTTCTGATAATGTTCTTCAACAGCCGATGTGGAACAATTGTAACTTTGTTTATAGAGGAAATACAATATTTTTTTTAAAACCTGGATAGCCAGTGGGATTTTACATGTTAAAGACGTATTTGATGATGATGGTAATTTCAAATCATTGTTAGATTTTTCCAATTGTATAAAAAAACAAGTCTAACTGGTTGTGGTGAATTTAAAATTCTTACTTCTGTTTTCAAAACTTTTCTACTAAAGTATGACTTTTCACATTGTATGTTTGTTAGCATACGATACAGAATTTGTTTTTCTCTTCTAATAGGATATGTTAATGGTATAGATCAAAGATGTAACTTTTTGTATGACATTCTTTAACACAGAGAATTTTGTAAATTATGTTATCAAACAGTTTTAAGCAAAGGCAAAGAATTTAGCGCTGAACCCTCATCAGAATGGAATATATATATATCAATGTTGATTGTATGACATACCCGATAAACAACTTACAAAATTCAACTATAAACTTTTAAACAATATTTTTTTGCAATAATTTCTATCTCAGTAAATGGAAAAAAAGAAACGAATAGTCATTGCAAATTATGCCACGCGAACGAAACTTCAAAACATCTCATTTTTGTATGTAGAAAAATGTTATTGAAATATGGAACAAATTAAGTTTACAACTCAAATGAAAACATGTTATGATTCGATTTAGCGCTGAGCGTAAGAGAAAAATTGAATCACTCAACACACTCATCTCTTATGTTGCCTATAGAGTTTATAAAGATAAGATGTACTGTAGTTTAGATAATATAATAGATGAAACTAGTCATAACATTTTCAACCAAGTTGAATTTTTTTTGCTATATGCTTCCAATCTTAAAAAAAATTAACTTGTTGACTACAAACTTTTTAAAAATTTTGCATAAAATATTTTTGTATCAATTATCTTAACGTAATGTCATATAGTTTGTAATGTAATTTGTCTGTTATATATATTTCACTGTTTGTTTGTATTAAGAAAATAAAAAAAAGACTCTACATCAGAAAACACTTGCCAACTGACAGCACATATATAGATTTTACTTAAAATCGGAGAAAAATCTTACTTTTACTACATATCCAAATACTATAATGGCTTTTTCGTAAATTTATAAGAAGTTTTCAAGTAATATCTCCACCATGTAAATATGACTGACTGTAAATTTTGTTTTATCATGTGACAGAACTTCCGTGTTACCAGACATAGATCCAAGCCTCTTAGTTTAGTGGAAATTTAGTGTACATTCAATGAATTGCAAAGTTCACTAGACAAATGACAAAAGAAATGACGTGAAAATTGCACAACTTTCAAATGAGACCTTAAAGTCGAGATACTTGTCACGAAAAGCGCTGAACTTGATGAAGGTATGATGCTGCGTAAGTAAGGGGAGTTGACGATAGGAAAGTTATATCCATCATGTTTATCATATAGCTTGGTTGTTAGATTACCATTAACGTCTTTTTCAAGCAAAATATCCAAGTATGAAATAGATGTATCGGACTATGTGGTATCTTTTATCTCAAGCTCACCAGGATATATCGTATTGACGTAGGAATAGAAATTACCATTATTAATTGACAATACGTCGTCGATATATCTAAATGTCGAGTTGGAGGCCATAGCAAGTGTTTTCTTCTTTTCACCTATAACATTTTGCACAAATTCTGCTTTATATGAAGATAAAAATAGTTCTAATAACAGAGTGCAATTGATACCCATGGAAATTCCAAGTGATTGTTGGAATACCTGGTCTCCAAAAACCACATAGATATTGTCAATCAAAAATTCAAGCATCCCTTTGATGTCTACTTCAGATGAGTGCAATTAGAATCTATTTTAACAAAATAATTTTGCAAATGACCAATGACGAGGTAAGTGAGTTTACGAGTTCCATTTTTATTGAAGAAGCATCTGTCAATGATATAAAATAAGCTTGATTTTAATTTATCGTGGGGAATTGATGTGTGTAAAGTTGAAAAATTGTAAGTTTTAAGCTGTTGAATTTGGTAAAATCATGCGATTTAAAATTGTCCAAAAATTCTTTGGAAATTTTGGGTATTCACATCTATTTCACAACACCTCTTGAATATTTTGTTGCACAGTACACTTGCAGTTGTTCCTTCACTACTGTCAATATCTTAATGAGGAGTAACGATAGAAGTTTGGTTGAACGTTTACTGGAACCCACAATGTATATTAGCTTGTAAAGATTTTTTGAAGTTTCGGAAACCAATATACATAGGGTATCTCAAATTCATTTTTGCCGTTCACGGTAGCTCAATCAGTAGAGCACTCGCTCCGTGATCGGGATGTCGTGAGTTTGTATCTCGGCAGCGAGTGACCTAGTCGTGAAAATGGGTAGCAACTGTTCCATCACCATGCGCTCGGCACTTTGAAGTGAAAGTTGCGGGTCCTTCGGATGAGACCTTAAAAACTGAGCCCCCGTGTCAGCGGCAAGCGTTGTACGATTAAGATCCATCACTGCTCAATGGCCCTGAGTGCCAAGTAAAGGTCAATTTTTAAGCCCTTCACCGACATACGGTGATATCTCCATATGAGGGAAAAATTCTTGAGAGGGACATTAAACAAAATACATTCAATCAATCAAATTCATTCTTGCCATGTGGAATATTATAAAAATTTGAAACTGATATATGGTATTGAAGAATTTCTTCCTTAGAAAGGGAAGTATGAATATAAGTACGATTACCACTTGTAGAATTAAATCCAAGTTTTTCAGAAATACCATTCATATAATGAGCCTTATAGACGTTCAGAATTTACAGTCAGTCATATTTCTTTAGATGTATGCTCTAGATTTGTATTGTTTAAATGGACTTTGACTAGAATACTTCTCCTTGTTTTGATATTTCATCTTTCATGTGCGAGTCTGGAAACAATTTTCTGAAAATATATTAAACGTTTTTTTCCTGAAAAAATCCAAGACAATAAAATACAAACGAGAAAAAGAAAGAACAGAATAATAGAAAGGTGTTCTGATGGAGACAGAGGACCTGCTATATTCAGGATTGTTGTTTTAAAAATATATCCGATAAATAGCATGATTAATATGAAAAAAAATATTTTACCCTTTTCAATCAGAAAGCTGGTTTTGTAAGAAAGTTCCGCAAGCTGCGATAGGTCCAACAGTGGTAAACAATGATACGTGTTTTTAAATTAGTTGATTTAAGAACAATTTAGTCTTTTGGAGGCATCCTCAGAATTGGATATATTCCTTGGACAACTGTTTAATCAAAAAAGATCCCATTCGATTGAATATTTGGTATCTGTAAAGATTGCATCGTTTTAAATAGAACTCATGTAGTAATTGTTTCTAAGAAGGATATGGAAATAACGAACAGTATTCAATCTCAACGTCCATTAAACAAATATACAAAACAAGAGCAGAGCAAACACGGACCTCCGAAACATCAGAGGTGGGATCAGGTGCCATGGAGGAGTGAGCATCCCCTGCCGACCGGTCACACCCGCCGTGTGCTCGTTGTCATAATCAGAACGGAAAAAAATCCGTGGTCAATTCAGTGTATAAATAATGGACTAACAATTTGTATGAAAAACGTCAGTCAGCATTTCATTCAATGATAAATTGTATTTGCTGACAAGGTCATTGTATCGACCATAGAATCTACGAAATGATGACTTTAAACGAGACTGTTGATATTCTTGTTTCATCAACTTGCTTGTCAATAATTTACCTCGTTTACGAAATTTCTTCATAATAACAGGAGAGTAAGCCTTATGTACACTATATACTGTTACATCTAATAAAAGTTCCTCAAAATAGCAGAAATTATAATAATTGAAGTGTCGAGTAATAAACTTTATAAACTAGTAAAGCAATTATATTTGAAAGTTTGATATCGAGATTACGAACAGTATTCAATCTCAATGTCCATAAAACAATATAAAATAAGAGCAAAGCAAACACGGACCTCAGTATTTTAAGAAAAAAATGTGACCTTGCAAAGCGTTTCAGGTTAATTGGCACGTTGCATTTTGTGTCTTAAGAAGGGAGGTATTGTCACAAGTGACATTGTGTCAATGTTTGATATGATTTGATTGTATAGGTATCTACTAGTAAGACTTGCCTTTAGCTAGGCATTAGGAATTGTCGTCATTTTCTTTTTATTTACGCTCTAGTGGTAACTGAGTCGTACTTGTTACTTTTTATTATCTACGTTTAATTCTATCACTTAAGAAACAGTGTATGTCATTCGTAAAATTCTTCAAATCACGGATTGTTTTAGAAGCATATTTTGGATAAGTACTCAAATAGTATGTCTCAAAATCACGGAGAAAACAGGGGATCAGCGTGCATCTTACTTAGTTACGGTACAATGAAGCCGACCTTTTTGAACTTTATTTTCTACTCGTTTATTAATAACTTTAGCCTT